AAAAAATGTGATAAAGGCAGGTGGGAATGCTGTTCTAAAAACATTGGATGCTGTAGCTCTTTTGTTTTCGAGACAGGGTCTCATGTAGCCCCGGCTGACCTTGAATTTACTATGTAACTGAGCATAATCTTGAACTGCTGATTCTCTTGCCTCCACCTCTCCTGAGATGAGATGACAGGTGTGCACAACTATGTCAGGTTTTGTATGGTTCAGTTGCTCATTTGTCCTGGAAACCTTGCTTTGAGGACACCACAGTTCCCTTCTGGCATTTACCTCATTGAGGGCTCATTTCTTTCTGCTCATTTGTGTGCTCTGGTGCTCCAGGCCTCAGCCCTCTGCTCTCTGTTGTCTAGGTTATGGTTTCTCAGCCTGGGTCCTCACGCGGTTTTGGGATGGACAACTTTTCATTGCTGTGCACAGTGAATGGTCAAGAGCATCCTGGCCTCTACACACTGGGTGCCAGGAACATCCTCCATCCCATAATCATGACAAAGTTACATATGGACACTGCCAGTGTGCCCCAGGAACAAAATTATTGGCCACTGAGAGCAGCTGTTGCAGGTCACCTAGACCCAGAGTTTCAAATACCCTTCAAAGGTGAGGGGCCATACACATATACCTCAACTTCATCCTTTCTCCAAGCTTGACATCTGTGTAGCCACATTTTTACATGGAGCTAGGATAAACATTTTTGTCTTCCTCTCCTAGGCTGTCTGCCAGAAGACAGGCACTTGTATACCCATTAAGAACAGTCCTGGATGGACAGAAGGAGTTCAAAATACATTTGCTAGTTTTTCATTTAAATACTGCATATGAATTCATTTTGTACAGTTCACCAATGATGGGCAATCAGGTCAATAATTTTAAATGTAGCACGGTACCTTTTAAAGACAGTGTTAGGCTAGACGAATGCTTGGCGAGTGTGGTAGTACACCTATAATCCCAGTCTGCCTGAGACTGGGATTATAGGTGGGAGAATTGCTGTGAGCTCCAGGCCATATTGGGCTACATCCTAAGACCTGGTATCAAGTATAAAATGAAACAAAGACACTTCATTTCTAAGTAAGTGTGGATAGCCATGATACTATCCACTACACTTATTTAAAATTTTACTATAATCTTAGACAAAAGACAGAACTAAGGTTGCTGTTCTTATGAATTATTATTTTTTTGCAGTGTTGAGGAGTAAACTTAGGGCCTAATACATGCAAGGCAAGACTCTACTACTGAGCTATATTTCCAACCCCATTATGTTAATATATTTGGTATTACTTCAAATTATTACAATTCATTTCAATTTTGGAATCAATAAAATGCATATTTATTTATGCAATAAATATGTATGTATTTGGGCAATTATGAAGCCAGTTATTCATGAATTCATAACTACAAAATTCCAATAGTGTTTCTTATTGGCCTAGTTTATGCCATTCTTTTTCCTTTTCTATTTTCATGTATGTGTATGCAAGCACACACGAGAATGCATTTGTACATATGGAGGCCTGAGTTTGATGTTAAGAATCATCTATGACCATTCTTCTACCTGTTCATTGAGCCAGGAACTCAGTCAAATGCAGAGCTCACTGATATGACTAGTCTTGATAATCAGCTTGCTGGGGATCAACTGTCTCTGTCTTCTGAGGCTGGAATCACAGGTGGGCTGCCATGCCCAGCTGGCATTTATGGAGGTTCTAGGGTCTGAACTCTGTCAAGTGCTTTAGCCATTGAGCCATCTTTCTAGTACCTGTTTCATTTTGAATTGGAAAATAAAGGGCGAAATTTTTCTATGTAGGTTTAAATTTATTGAAAAGCAACCCTGCCCCAAAATTCTGCCTCTTGGGAAACAGCTTCCATCTGAGCCTAGACAGTGTTATTTTCATTTTGTCCTTTCTCCAGGGGATGCAATAACCAAACATGGCATTCTTTCTCACCCAAGTCTGCACACAACACTAATATTATGTCTACTGTCAGTTAAAAACCATGATTCCCAGCACTGAACTTCACTTTGGGTAGCAGTCAACCTTCCTGCAGCTGTCCTCAGTTCATTCACTAAGCCCATCAAGTCCTGTATATTTCATTATACAACTTTCCCAAGATTTTCTACCAATGGTCCTTTGAATAGAAGTGAACTCAATGTGATGGTTCTTAAACTCTGTAAGTATTAAATAACTCTATAAGTTATCAAATATTGATGCTTATACAGCTTGGAACTCAATCAAAACCTACTTAGCTCATGTTTCCTACACTCATCTATCTGTGCCCTCAAACTTGTAGGTGGAATCTCTAATACACACACACTTTTTTTGGTGTTGTGTATGTTTGCTTGTATGAGTGTGTGATGGGGGATGTTCTTCAGTGTGCTGTGGATATATGTTTCTCTTATTGGTTGATGAATAGAGCTGTTTCAGCCAGTAGTCAGGGAGGATGTTGCCAGGCAGGAAGTATAGGCAGGGCTACCAGACTAGGAAAATTTTGGGAAGAGGAACTGAGGGAGTGAATGGCCATCGAGCTGCCATGTAGCTGCCAAGAAAGCAAAAGGCTTGGGCATCACTGGTAAGCCAAGACCATATGGAGATACACAGATGAATAGAAATGGGTAAATAATTAAGAGAGAGCTAGCCAATAAGAAGCCTGAGCCATAGGCCAAACAGTTTATAATTTATATAAGCCTCTCTGTGTTTATTTGTGACTAAATGGCTGTGGGACTAAGTGGCACAGAAACTTTAGTCCGTGTATGTATGTGCGTGTGCGCGCGCGCGTAAGATGTCAACATTGATTATCTTCCTCTGTCTACCATATCTTTTGAGCCAGGATCTCTCACTGAACATGGAAGTTGCCCACTGGCTAGGCTGGCTAGCCAGCAAGTCTAGTAATCCTTCTGTCTGCCTCTCCAGCACTGTGATTACTGGCATGCACAGCCATGCCTAGCTTTTCTAGGTATACTAGGGATCAGATGCAGGTCCTTATGCCTTCACAGCAAGAATATTGCTGACTTAGCTATCTCTCCTTAGTCTAATAATTTACCACAAAATTTTAAAAGAACTTCTAGAAAGATATCTTTAAAAATATTGTACACAGGCAGGATGGACCTCTGTGAGTTCAAGGCCAGCATGAACTACATAGTTAGTTCTAGACTAATTAGAATTACATAATGAGACAATGTCTCATAAAATTTTACATGAGCAATATGTGACCAAAAATAGAATGTTAATCTTAAAAGGCATAAAAGGTTTTATGCCTGACTTGTCACCACTTAGGAGATAAATTACTTTTAGAAAAGAATTTAAAAGTGTTAGCTTGACTTTTATTTTTTCATTTAGCTAACTTTAAATGGAAGTTCTAAGGGGAAGGTTTATACTTATTAAAACACGCAGGAGTCAAGGTCAGCTTTCTGGGGGCAGTTCAGTGGCAGCACTCAACTGGTGTGCTTAGAGCCCCAGTTTAATTCCCAACTCCACAAAACTTCAAAAACAGAACCAACCAACAACAAAAAAACCTAGATTTAATATTTTATGATTAATGAATCTTAGTTAAAAGACAAAAAATATACCCTCATGAATGTGCAAATGAAGGTTTGGGACACTGGAGGAATTAAAAAAAAAAACAGACCTTTTGTATATAAGTAGATTTCATGTAGTATAGAACCTCACTGACTCTAATAATAAAACTACAGAGAGCCGACTACAGTGACTGTCTTTCAGACGTGGGGAAGAATGGCGCACCCTAGCCATCGTCATAGGCAGAACCATTTGTTTGCTTGGGAGCTACCTGGTCCTGTGTTTCCTGCGGAGTGTGGTTAGGGTGACTCACCCACAGAGACAGGGATGCTGTCTTAGGCCAACCCCTCACGTAGCCTGCTGTTCCAAGAAACAGGTATGCTGACGCCTAACATTTGACCTGTTCATAGAATCTGACTTAGTTGACTTCTGTGTAAAAGGCTAACAGGAAATCCTTTCAACATGGACATTTGAAGGTGTTTGAGTGAGACTGTGGGTGTTGATGACAAAATGGGGTAGGTGTGTGAATGGTGTAATTGGATCCCATGTGCAAAGGCTCAGTTCCCCTAGCAAGTCTGGCTAGAGGAGCTTGCTCATATATGGAAGCACACGTCCCTTTAAGAACAATAGGCAAAGGAAGCATGGCCAATACTAGGCTGTCTCTGGGCAGGGTTCTGAACATCAGGTTTCTTTGTACACAAACAGTCCACAGAGAATGGAGGGGATGTGTGCTGATCTCAGTGCAGGCACTGGAAGTGGGCTTGTGAGCTCTCCCATTCCTCCTTGATTTTTTTAAATGAAATGTTGATATTTGGTTCAGTATAGGTCTTTTGTATCTAAGAGTGGAAAACCCAGCATATCTGGTGAAACAGCTATTGGAGATTAGAGGATGAAGTTCAAGTTAAAAACATCTTTTCTTTTCTTAGGAATTGTGATGCTTAATATTGACTATGAACACGACAGGATAAGAATCAGCTAGTAGACAAGATTCTGGGCTTGTCCAGGAGGGAGTTTCTACATCGGATTAACTGGTTAATCCGTGGGCTGGGATCCCAGACTGAATGAAAAGAAGAAAGGGAGCAGAGCATGCATGGGAAGTCATTGCTCTGTCTGTGTCCTGCTTGTGATGTAATGAGGCCAGCTGCCCTGAACTCCATCCTGTTGCCATGACTTCCCCACATGACGGGACTGCCCCCTCAAACTGTGAGCCAAAATAAATCCCTCCTTCTTTAAATTGTATTTGTCTCAGCCATGAGAAAAATAATTATAGCAATTTTACTTCTGAAATTAACAGTTTCAGTTCTAATAAAAGATTGTGGTGATAAATACAGTGTGTGGATAGATGTTGGGTCATCCCTACCACATGTAGTGTTTCAGATGCTAACATTCATCCACTGAGAGGATGGAATGTTCCTAGGAGGAACAGATGCACATCTAGTGTATTAAACACTTGAATGTTACAGCGTCTCAGTGAGGGGTAAATATCTGGTTCCTCTGAGCTACCTTCACGTTGAATGTAATTTCCTCCATGACGTATACACGTTCAGGAAATGCTTTGGCCACTTCCTCCACGCTGTTGAAATATTGCACCGGCTCCTTTATATCCCGGTCTTGTTCCAGCAGCTTGAATTGTCCTAGAACACATGATAAGCAGAAGAGATGTAAGATGTTTATGCTGGACAGCTGTCACTGTGGCAACAACATCCTCTTCCTTTATGCCAGCTCTTCTCTGTTGTAGATTGCTATTCATTATTATGTTAAAAAAGGATGATCACATCTGAAGGTTTTGTTAAACTTGAATCTACACAAATTTAGAAAATCAGTGTGAAAATGAAAACAAACTGAATTTTATCTTTTTCTGTTCATATTCAGGGTTTCTTATCAGGGCTCTAAAATTACTGTAAATGGATGTTTCTATGTCATTAGACCTACAATGAAGTCTGTTATATACAGTAGCTTCTTTTGTTTTTAGCAGTAAACTTTCTTTTCATTTAATTTTAATAACTATTAATACTACTTTCTAGAGCCAAGGCCCTGTACCATGGCAGAATTAATCTTTTGAAGTTATTTAGACTAGAATAAAATCAGGGCCGGGGTGTAGCTCAGAGACAGCATCTGACACAAAAAGAAGGAGCCACTCCAGACAAGGCTCAGGCAGGCCACCATCTGCTACAGCAGGGGCAGCAGTGTGAGCTGGACATAGTTCCCTACCTGATTCTAGATTTCCATCCAGCTAGAGTTGGGGAGAAGGTATAGGTTGAGAGCAAGGTTGAAAGAGGAGGTGCTGGAGGTTTAAAGAGAGAAGACCATTACGTGCCGGGTGGGGACTTACAATGCAGTGTGACTGCTCAGCAACATTAAGTCATCACTGGGGCTTCCTGGCTGAGAATTAAAAGTGAAGCCAGACAGCACAAAGCAAGGTCAGGGACACAGGCTGAAATGGGAAGAAATTTAGATTTAGATTCTGCCACTGCTGTGAAACTGCCAGTGTGTAGGAGAAAGGGTCAGGGAAAGACTCAGGATATATACAAGGAAGGGACCTTTAGGTTGGGAAAGATACCAAAGTTCTTGGTGGGAAGGCAGAGGGACAGTGAAGATATAGATGGCTCTGATGTGGATAAGTTTGGACTTTGGAGGGAATTAGTTCAAAAGCTACAAAGGAGACTGGCCTACTTAAAATGAATCCCTTGGATGCTCTAGACAAGCTCAAAAATGACTTTCCAGGAGCCAGCCTAGCCAAGGGATAGATTAGATACATACTTGAAAGCATAGACAATCTATGTCATGGGATGGTGAGGCGACCAAGGCAGTTGTCCACGGGAGTTAGAATGCATATTCATTTGCCAGTGATCTACAGAACATCTGACAGAGACTTCAGGTATCTGCCAATATTCCCAACTGCTAGAAATGGTGATTTATATTTTATAATTTATTATATGGATAAGAAATTACAGATTTAAGCCGGGCATTGATGGTGCATGCCTTTAATCCCAGCAATCGGGAGGCAGAGGCAGTCAGATCTCTGTGAGTTTGAGGCCAGCCTGGTCTCCAGAGCAAGTGCCAGGATAGGCTCCAAAGCTACACAGAGAAACCCTGTCTCAAAAAACAAACAAACAAACAAAAGTCACATACTTATTTCACACTTTCTGTATATGCCTGCGGACCATCACCTGCCCTGGACTGAGATCCTTGAGGTCCCAGCGCAGGACTGGGGACCTGCCACTTGTGGTCCCCTG